TGATCGGTCGCAGTCTGTGTTGACAGGGGGGCAGAGGTCGACCCCGAGGCCCCTTGTATGTGGGGTGCCACAGGGGTCGGTTCTCTCACCCCTTCTGTTCAACATTTATGTGAAGCCGCTGGGTGAGATCATCCGTGGTCTTGGGGTGAAGTATCATCAGTATGCTGATGATACTCAGCTATACATCTCCACCCCGGACCACCCCAATGATGCCCTTAAAGTGATGTCCCAGTGCCTGGAGGCTGTATGGATCTGGATGGGAGGGAACAGACTCAGGCTCAACCCATCCAAGACCGAGTGGCTGTGGTTTCCGACGTCCCGATATAGTCAATTGGTGCCATCACTGACTATTGGGGATGAGTCATTGCCCCCCACAGAGAGGGTTCGCAACTTAGGCGTCCTTAGAACACTTGACGGCTGTGGCCGGGAGGTCTTTTTATCAGGTTTGCCTGATTCGCCAGTTGCGTCCCTTTCTGGATCGGGACTCGTTAAAAACGGTCACTCATGCCCTCGTCACTTCACGCCTGGACTACTGTAATGCTCTCTACATGGGGCTCCCCTTGAAGAGCACCCGGAGGCTCCAGCTGGTCCAGAATGCGGCCGCGCGGGTAGTTATGGGAGCAGCATGGTGCTCCCATGTGGCTCCCCTCCTGCGCGAGCTGCACTGGCTCCCTGTGGTCTTCCGGGTGCGCTTCAAGGTCTTAGTTACCACCTTTAGAGCGCTCCATGGCTTAGGACCGGGGTACTTACGAGACCGCCTTCTGCCACCAATAGCCTCTCACCGCCCAGTACGCTCCCATAGAGAGGGGCTTCTCAGGGTGCCGTCAGCCAAACAATGTCGACTGGCGGCCCCCAGGGGGAGAGCCTTTTCTGTGAGGGCACCCACCATCTGGAACGAGCTCCCCCCAGAGATACAGAAGATTCCGGATCTGCGCACTTTCCGCCGTGCCCTCAAAACATTCCTGTTTCAGCAGGCCGGCCTGGCCTAACTTTCCCTTTATATTGCTTTTTGATTTTATTTTAAACTAGGATGTGTTGAATTATCTAGGACCAGAATGTTTAGTATATTTTAATTGGTTTTTTTATTATTAACGTTTGTATTACATGTATTTTTATCATTCGCTGTTCACCGCCCTGAGTCCCTTAGGAATAGGGCGGTATATAAATTTAATAAATAAATAAATAAATAATTTAGGTGGGAATCCTCTTTATAGGAATATAGGAATATAGGATTCTTAGGGAATCCTAAGAATAACTTTCATCAAATTCAGTGGGACTTGTTTCTAAGTAGACATGTAGGAATATGTTTGCTAAGCATTTAGTTTTTGTATTATGTATTTCGGTGCATTAGTTAAGAAATGGGATGTTACCAAGCATTGTGTTTTGATTTAACATACAATGGTTAGTAGACTGGTTAAATATTCCTGTATGTTCTAATTATTGCCTGATAATGTGTGCATTTTCATGCACGTACCATAACAGATTACTGATGTACAAATACAGCTGTGTCTGAAGATCTATATAAATACTTAGATATGAGACTAAAGAGATGGAAATGTATCTCTTGGGACTAATTTTAGATGTTCAATGTTAGCAAAGATTCCACTAATTTATAAGAGCACTCCATTAGACTGCTGGAAAATTACTGTAGTTTGATCCTGTGGCTTGGATTCACTCTGCTATATCTTGGGCTGTCATGGCCACAGCCAAGGCCAAAGACTATCCTTCATCCAAGAGAAAATATTTCAGCATGATAGCAGCTAACATGACAGCATTGTTTAATGTTTCCCTGTAAAGCAAGCAACACATACAAAGGCTACTACAATCAACAATTCTGTAAATAACCAAAGCAGCAACAGCAGCAGATGGCAAGAAACTGCCATCTTGACTTCACTTGTGGGAGTTGATGATTGTGGTATCCTTGTCAGAGGTGCTTGTTTGAAGTGTGAGCAGCTCATTTCCATTTGGCTTGATCATGAAAAGAATATTAAAATTCTAAGAATTAGTGCCTGAATTTGCTTGCTTTCCTTTTCCCTTTCCTATCAGTTTTCCTCCCATAGCTTTTCTTTATAGACCATAAAATGGGATTATCTTATTTTCATTAGTTTGTAAAATCGTGCTGGCAGTGTTTTTGGCTTGAACATTTAGAAAAAAGTTCTTTAAGGGACAGCAGTCAGGGTAAATGGATTTTTGTACTAATAAACATGTTAACAACCACAAATATCTTTACAATGAGTTGTAAAGAGTTAATTGTTAAAAAATGTCCTTTATTCCTGAATCCACACTACTATATTGCCTAAATCTCTTTGCCTGCGTTGGCCATTTCGCTGAAGATGAGAATGCCGTTTCTCCCAAAAAACCTGAATTAATCTAAGGACAGCAAATATTTTTATTATGGTTGCTTGCACAATCAGCCAAATGTTTAGACTGGATTTGGCATTGTTATCCACCCATTGAGTTCTTCCTGAGTACCTGGGATGGGCAGATGTGGTTGTTTGATGGTGTTAAAGGCATTGTCGCAGGTTGTAAGCAGTTTCAAGCAAAGCTGCCTTTTGCAATTAACTGATAGTGATTCTGCCAGTTTTGAGGGTGTTCAAGTGATGTTCCAGATAGTTGTGATTACATCCAAGGTGCTGTAGTACTACAAAATAAAATCCAGAACAGCGTGGTTATTTGCTGATCCTATTTATAGTTTCTCAGTTCCTTTCCCTCATGAGAATTTTAAGTACTTAGAACAGTTCATGCAACATTTACTAGTTTCATCTTGATTAGTTTTCAAATTCAACTAAGCCACAAAAAAAGTAAAGAGGTATCTAGTTTTTTTTTTTTTAATTTACATTCTGTATTTCTAATTTAAAACAAGCACCAAAACAACTTATCTAGAATCACAACAAATGGAGAGAAAATATTCCTGATACTTCCAACTGCCCTTTTCAGGTCTGTCTCTCTTGACACACAACCCCATCAATCAGTTCCTTCTGCTCCTGGACATTGGAAAGCTAAAGATAGGATCCCTCTTGGAAAGTGAAGCCATTTCTATTGTAAGGATGAAATACCTGATTTACTTTAAGACAGGGGTCTCCAACCTTGGCAACTTTAAGACTTGTGGATTTCAACTCCCAGAGTTCCTCAGCCAACAAAGCTGGCTGAGGAACTCTGGGAGTTGAAGTCCACAAGTCTTAAAGTTCCAAGGTTGGAGACTCCTGCTTTAAGAGATACATTTCTAGAGACTACAGCACTGTATTCTTATATATAACATGTTGTATTTCAATTTGTCCCTAACATTCCTGGAGGAAGCATTCTCCCCACCCCACTCCCCCAATGCATAAGCTGTACAAATGATAGGAAATTCCATCCTTTACTTTCATTCATGCTTTAGCTATAAACTAGCCCTCTTGCCTTCTTCCTGACTAGTTCAGAAGGCTTCTGGAACCTCAACAGAGGCCCTCAGGCTTTTATATTGGATAAACTCAACAAACTTTGGGCAAAAGAATTAATGGATACAAGTTTGACAGCAGGGTCCAAAACAAGGATAAAATAACACAAGAGCAGCTTAACATCCGAGGATACTGTTTTGCATATCTCAAAATGACCATTTTGGGAAAAAGAAAAAGTTTGGTATAATTAATTGCTGAAATTCACAATTAACAAGTCTCCAAAGATCTCAACAAACACAATAGGATATTAACATACTGCAATTCTTAGTAAGATACTGTAATCTACCTTACATATAACCTTGTCAGTATAGCTAACTGGTCTTTCTCCCCACCTCTGGCCTCATCCCAATTTAAATCCTATGTTAGTTTAGCTACTCCATGCATCTGACGAAATGAGCTGTAACTTGTGAAAGCTTATGCCTTTTAGTAACATGCATTAGTCAGACATGCTTCCAGTTTTATTAATTTTGCTGACATAGACTAACTCATCTCTCTTCCTGTCTAATGAAAGAGTTGAAAAGAGCTTCTTGGTTAGCAAAAAAAGAATATCTGATAGTAAAAACATTTTATCATAGATTAGTCAATTATATTATAAAATCTGTGGCCCTGTTGTACCTGCTGTTAGTGATAACTTTGTCTCTTGATATTTTCTTTGAAACAAAGCTTTCTGCAGTATTTTCAAATTCTAGGAAGGTCTTGTTTTTAATTTTTAAAAAGTTCGTCTGAATAGTATTCTTTTTCTTGACTGGCAAAACAATGTAAAAATGACAAAGAAAGAAACAGTTCACTCAAATATGTAGAGTTACAGGAAGTCACTGGATATTTCTCTTTGTTGTGTTCATAAATACTGTTAAAAATACTGTAAGTAGAAAGTGAAGATGGGGGAAAAACAGGAAATAGACTCTTGGGATAAAGTTTCAGCATATGTGTTAAGACCTGCCCTTCTTCTACCAAGGAAAAGCACATTTTGGTTTTCAAAAGGGAAGTTACTTTCTTTTCTTAAACAACATCCTCTGCTTGCAACAAAATACCTTATGCCACCAAACTTGAAATTCTGGGTTTAGAAAACTTAGAACTATGCCACCTTCGGTATGACTTAAGTGTAGCATATAAAATTATCTGCTACGGTGTCCTACCTGTCAATGACTACTTCAGCTTCAACCACAACAATACACGAGCACACAATAGATGTAAACTTAAAGGAAACAATTCCAAACTTGATTGCAGAAAATATGACTTCAGCAACAGAGTGGTCAATGCCTGGAATGCACTCCCTGACTCTGTGGTTTCATCCCCAAACCCCCACAATTTTAACCTAAGACTGTCTACTGTTCAACTCACCCCATTCCTAAGAAGTCTGTAAGGGGCGTGCATAAGAGCACCAGCATGCCTACCATCCCTGTCCTAATGTTACCTCTATTTGTATCTATTTTATGTATCCAAATCTATGTTTATACTTATTACCTAATACTTTCTTGACAAATAAATAAATAAAATAAAAATAAAGATTGGTTCCCATTTGGCCACCAGATTATTAAAGCTGAGACTCTTGGTGTTTTTCAGGACATGTTGCTATGAGGAAAGACGTCAGAGATGACTGATGTTGAGCCTGTAGTCACAGATTTTGCTGCATCAGGACGGGCAGGGCGCCGAAATGCCTTACCAGACATTCTGGGTTCTTCTGCTGGAGCTGGGACATCAGAACTGCCACACAAATTAGCAGAACTCTCAATGTCAGAAGGTAGTATTCTTGAGAATCAAAAGCTACCTTTTACTGTTCGAATAACTTTAATACATGTTCTTCATTAAGGCATCATATTACTAAGTAATTTTCTAAGGATCTTTCCAACTTCATATGAGATTCCATAAGCCAAGAAGCTGCCTTGTTTGTAATTTCACCACAATAACAGGTAGCACACCACTTTACAGCTGTTACATAATGTATACCCGCTATGTTTTCTTTCATCAGCTGCACATGTTCTATGAATTTGGTGTGTATCCAATATTACAGTAAGCAAATATTGTGAAAAGTTCTTCCAAACTCCAAATGTTTTGACTGAGTCCTTCTTTGTAGAGCTAATACTTTCTCATGTTCACATCTCTTTAATTAAAGGAGCTGAAGGAGGAGAAGCGTCATCCTCTGATGCCACTATGGAAAACCAAGAGATGGAAGGAAAAACAATGAATTCCTAATGTTTATAAAATGTTCGGTTTGGGTGATTACCTACGAACTTCACTGCCAGAGTGTCCAAGACTCTGAAATATGTAATATTTGTAACTGGCTAATATGAATATGGCACATTGAAAAATTAGTTATGTTTTCAAATTCATCAAGAAGCAATTTATTTATTTACAAATCATAGCCAGTATCTGCAGAAAAAAAAAGAGAATTGTTTTCAGTCATTTAACAAATGAAGTCCAATGTAATCAGTTGATTATTGCAAATAACCAAATACAACCACAAACATCATTAATAACTTGGAGTCTTTTCTGATAATAAAATGTAGATATCAGGTTTCGTTTGAGCTTAGTATATATATGTACATACATGCGCACGTACACAAACACACATTTTATACATAGAATAGTACACAAAAGCATATATCAAAATCAGTAAATTCCAGGCCCAGAATATAAGTAAGATTCACCATACAAAAAATCAGCGAATTTAGACTGAGTACGATTTTGAATAAATGACACAACAAATGTTTAAAAACGTAGGACATTGCTAAATAGTGGGAGAATTTGCTAGTGCTCTTCATGGTTAAGGAACTCATGAGAAATTTCCTGATTTCAACAATATAGTAAAATGAGCATCCAGTTCTAATCTATAACAGATAAGTAATGAAGATTGCTGTTTTGTACCAAAAGATAGGTATCCATATTTATCACACAATTAGATTCCATATAGGAGTTATATATGATTCCATATAGGAATAAGCTGGTGGATACTGAAGATGTAACTAGAGGAATGTAACTTCATCAAAGCATTCAACAAAGTAGACCACCGCCTACTTCTTGGTAAGATAGAAAAAAGTGGGATAGATAGCATCACCACCAGATGGATTCACAACTGGCTGACAAACCATACTCAATGAGTAGTCCTTAATGGATCTAAGTCTACATGGAGGGAAGTAAGCAGTGGGGTGCCACAAGGTTCTGTCTTAGGCCCAGTACTCTTCAATATCTTCATAAATGACTTAGATGAGGGAATAGAAGGGGAACTTACCAAATTTGTGGATGATACTAAACTGGCAGGAATAGCTAACACCTGACAGACTTGAACACTGGGCCCTGTCTAACAAAATAAAATTCATTGTAGAGAAAAGTAAAGTCCTACACTTAGGCAAGAAAAACCAAAAATACATATATAGACTGGGTGAAACCAGGCTTAAGAGCAGTAACTGTGAGCGGGATCTTGGAGTCTTAGTGGACAACAGTTAAATATGAGCCAGCAGTGTGCAGTGGCAGCCAAAAAAGCCAATACAATCCTAAATTGCATTAAGAGAGGGATACAATCAAGATCAAGTGAGGTACTAATACCACTCTATAAAGCCTTAGTAAGACCACACTTAGAGTACTGTATCCAGTTTTGGTCACCACACTATAAAAAAGATGTTGAGACTCTAGAAAAAGTGCAGAAAAGAGGAATGATTAGGGGACTGGAGACTAAAACATATGAAAAACAGTTACAGGAACTGGGCATGGCTAGTCTAGTGAAGAGAAGGACCAGGGGAGACATAATAGCAGTCTTCCAATATTTGAGGGGCTGCCACAGAATGGAAGGGGTCAAGCTATTTTCTAAAGCTGCCCTGAGTCTTCGGAGAGGGGCGGCATATAAATTAAATTAAATTAAATTAAATTAAATTAAATTAAAGCACCTGTAGGCCAGACAAGGAATAATGGATGGAAACTGAACAAGGAGAGATTTAACCTGGAAATAAGGAGAAATTTTCTGACAGAACAATCAACAATCAGTGGAACAGCTTGCCTTCGGAAGTTGTGGGAGCTTCATCACTTGAGACTTTCAAGAAGAGATTGGACTGCCACTTGTCAGAAATGGTGTAGGGTCTCCTGCTTTGACTTGGGGTTGTACTAGGTGACCTACAAGGTCCTTTCCAACTTTGTTAATCTGTAATCTGTAATCTGAATATGGACAAATTTTTGAGATAGGGCAGACCTTCACCTGCTCACCTCCCCACCCAGAAAGCCCATTTCAGTTCCCATTGTAACAACTGTTCTAGTTCTGCACAGTAATCTCAAAAGCCTCTGCTCTTCAGATTTTAAAATAACATTTCTCTGTCACCCTGGATACCAAAGTTTAATTTCCCCAGAAGCCAAGACCCAGAGTATTTTCGACACAGCACAAAGCTCGATTTTTAAAGAAAAAGGAAATGCATCTGGAGATTAGCCCCACAAAACCTTTTTCAAATCTGAACTCGACTGAGAAATGTACAGAAGTTCAAGACATACAAAAATGCCTTTTTTGCTCCTTCAAAATGTCAAAATGAACCAAGATCACCTAGGATTTCGATGTCCCTTTGTGTACATTTGCTATTTTGCTTTCTTAAAACTGGCTTTTCTGATGAAGTCAAAATTCTGTTTTTTAGTTTTAAAAACAAATCCTGAATGACTGCAGTTGTTTTTAAATTGCTTTTCAGCATGAGGAATGAAACAGATTACCTTTACATTAGAAAAATGTGTTCTATCGATCAGGCTTTCACAAGATCTAAGAAGATAAACTTTTTGCTTCAGTCATGGTGTGGGTTCATCGGCTTAGAGCTGATCCTGTTAAGATTGTTAAAGCATTTTCCTCCTGATACATTCTACCTGTTCCAAAGGATTGATCCATATTTTATAATAAAGATTGTATTGTTTAAAATATAGTACGTGTATATTATTTGCACAAGAATTCCATGACCCAATTGTATATGATTTTCCTGCATTTAAAAAAAAAAAATCAGTTAGGTATACTCCTGATTAGAGCATAATCATTGCGATTGAACTGAGAATAGAATCATTATTTTAAAATGAATTTCAATTTCATATGCTTGATGTAAATTCTGAATATATTCATGTGTGTTCTCTTTCAATAGAATTAGTTTGGACCCCAAACAACATATTTTGGATTGAAGTACAGTAATAACTTCATTGGCTACCTTGCCTCAGCAAACCACAATTATAACTTATGGGCATATGACGCTTTGGACTAAATGTATTATAGCATATGTACCATACTAATACTAGTATTAGTATTAACATTTGTCTTTGTTGACTAAGAAAGTGTGCCTTTTGCTATTCTGATACTTTTGTAAGATCTATGCACAAAACCCACATTTCTTCCAGAGGAATGAATCCTCTACAATTTATCTCAACTCCTCAAATACCAGCTTTTTTTTCTATTTATTTTCTAAAACAAAATATTCATATTATTGGATACCAAATTAATCATACAACATTTTGAGTCCTGTTGCTTTCAGATTTCAGGTTGAACCTAAACATAAGGCACAATAAAATGATGATAAGGTTGAACTTCCTCTCTGTAATCAACAGGTGGCACTCTGTACCCATTTGAAGCAACGATGCCATTGTATAATAGCACAAATACATTTCATCAATAATGATTGTGACTCACTAGCTAGTTTTCAGGGAACTAAACCTTGGATATACACGGACCGCTCAAAGTACTGCTTCATTCCTTCTGAACAGTCCTTCCCACCACATGATTTATTGTATTGTAATAAATGTATCAAAATTCATGTAGCTTCCTGAGTTCTATCCAGCAGTTTTCCTCATGCCAGTACCTCCCAAATGTATCAGGATCACAAACAATCACCAGTCAGCTAATATCAATGCTTTTTATATTTAAATAAATAACTTCCAAGAATAACTGACCATAATATGAGATTTTCAACTTTTAACAAATATGAAATAAAAATATTCTAAAGAAGGGTACCAAAGAGCATGTTCTGAGACTGTTAAAAGAGAGAGAGAAAAAGTAAAAGAACGGTTAAATAGTAATTAACACTATATTTTATTATTTTCTCCTACCTCCAAACAAATGAATAAACAAAAAAATACAGGCATTTGTAGGAACTTGGCTTAGGCTGTAATAAGCATCAGTATCTGTGGAATTGTTGAGTGAAAACAAAGACAAAGTTAGCCAAATAAAAAGTCTCTGTGTTGTATATGCCACCAATATTTTCAACATGAGCACTCTAGATCAGGGGTGTCAAACTCACGGCGTCACAGTGTCATGTGACATATTGGAACTTTTCCCCCCTTGGCTAAACCAGGCACGGGCATGGCCAGCGGGTGATGCATCCCCTCCGCGGGCAAGGAATTTGACAGCCCTGCTCTAGATAGTTGTGTCTGGATTTTATGGAGAGGAGCCATGAAAGAAAGCAAATTAGGTTTATTACATCTAATAATATAATTATGTATCATTTTAGTGCCAAGGACAGATAAAAATGATTTTGTGTCACATGCCCAAATATTTTGGATTTGTTGCAGCAGATCTTAATGGGCCTCTACTAATAAGGGATTAGCCACCATTCCACAGGAAGAATGCCAATTGCAAATGAGTGTGTCAAATATTAGATTCCACCTTCCAAGATGAGAGTCCTGGCCCAAGTCTCTAAAAAGAGAACTTGATGAATCTACTGCCCCTAAGCATTACAGGTAGTCCTTGACTTTGTTTAGTGAAAATTTGAAGTTACAACAGCATTGAAAAAAGTGACTTATGACTGTTTTTCACACTTTTGACTACTGCGGCATCCCCATGGTCATGTAGTCAAAATTCAGATGCTTGGCAACTGGTTCATACTTATGACTGTTGCAGTGTCCCGGAATCATGTGATCACCTGTTGTGACCTTTTGACGAGCAAAATGGGGAAGCCAGATTCACTTAACAACCATGTTACTAACTTAACAACTGCAGTGATTCACTTAACAATTGTGGCAAGAAAGGTTGTAAAATGGGGCAAAATTCACTTAACAACTGTCTCATTTAGCAACAGAAATTTTGGGCTCAATTGTGGTCATAAGCCGAAGACCATCTGTATTTGCTACTTTGGCATGTTCAGTTTACTAAGCCAACAGTAAACTTAGTGAGGTTTACTGAGCGAACTTAGGCCAAAAATGATAGATTCTTTTACAAGAATCTTGTATCTACCTTTTTTTTATGATGTTCTCTTCGATTTATACTGTTTGTTTTCAAGAAATACATGATCCCTGGCATATAATTGTATGAACCGATGCATAGAAGCATATTTATCTATAAACTTAAAGCCAGATTTTAAAAAAATGCTTCTGCATGTATAAGCAGTTTATATTTGTAACTATATTCAGCCAAATGAAATATCTTAGTTTCATCAAAGTAGTCCCATTAAGTTGTATACTGGCATGAAAACATTTTCCATTTTACTCTTGTCTCTAATTTTTTTTGTTATTGCACTTTTTCTTTGGCCTGCCATGATTGCCTTTTTCTACCAAAAAGGTCCTCTATATTCCTGGAAAACCCTGATATAATTCCGCTATGCTCAAGAAGCCAATAATATAGCCTAGATCAATTCTCAAGAAGAGAAGGAAGTGTAAAGCATAACTTGGGTGGCAGCTACCAGTGAGCAGCTAGCCTGGAGAAGCAAAAAATTGAAGCTCAAATTGCTTCTGAATTCTTTGACTGACTGACCATTCCTGCATCCACGGAGCTGCCGCCTGACTAGCTGAACCCTAGCTATACCTGGCTCAGTGAAAAACAGCTGTTTGTCGGATCGGGAAAACAGCTGATCATAGGAATGTGGGCAGCAGCAGGAAACTGGGCAGGATGAGCCAGGATGGGTGGTTAGGGGCGTGGCCGGACTGCGTAGGCCATCTAAACGGTTGGTGGGAGGGGTGGGGTATACACACAGGGGACGTGGGTCACAATATAAGGGGCAGGTGAGCACAAACTTTGATTCCTTTTGGATGGTCGCTTCGTGCTGGGTCCACGTTTCCAGATAAACAATCTAACATCAATTGTGTTGCTGGCTTTTCTTATGCAGGACACCAGAACGTGACACATGTCTTGAGAGCTTTATGGAAAGCCATAAGAGTTGGGATGAATTTCACCTCAGGAGGGATGGTGTTCCAGAGGATGGGTGCTGTGATGGAAAGGTTCACTTCCTAGGTCCCAACAGATGGAACTCCTTCACAGACAGGACACACATGTACCATGCATTTTCTGCCAGATCTGATGGGATGGTCCCTTGGGTAATCTGGCCCCATGCTTTAAAGTAAGGCTTTAAAGATTTTTTTAAAAAAAGAATTTTTTTTAAAAAAAGACCTTTGAATTAGAATCAGAAGCAAAATGGCAAACAATAAAGCTCACGGAGCAAAGGTGTAACCTATGTCCATCTGTTGTGACCTAGGCCCAAGTAGTTATTACCAGACACAATCAGTCCTAAACAAACATATTTTATTAGAACAGCTGAGAATTACTTCATTCTCAAGTTTTGTCCAAATTAATTCCAAAACAATTCCTTCAGAAAAAGTCCTTCGGCCTTATCACAAACCTTTGTTTTCTTTGGCACCCTGCCAAAGGCTTTTCTTGGCAAAGCCCCACGAAGTTCAGAAACAAAAGATGCTGACAAGAAACAAATGTAGCAACGTTGCTTTCCTACAAAGAGCCCAAGAGCCTTTGCTGCTCTTTTAAGTCTTATGGGAGGGGCCAATCATCTCCTGGCCTTACTCCCAAGTCGTCCTTTTTGCTTTAGCTGCTCTTGCCTTCTGGCAGTTCTTCGCATGTGTGCTCTAGGAACAGGCTCCTCCTGTTTCTCTGCCTCTCTGCTATCTGCCTCTGGAGGCTCTGGAGTCCGCACATTGCTCCCAGATGACCCTGGCCCCTTCTCTGCCTCCGACACAGAGCCCTCATCCGGGCCTTCCCCTGACTCCAGGACTGGCCCATTGTCCTCCCCAGCCTCCTCACTGTCTGACTCTGCTGCCAGCTCTTCAGGCTGCTGGTGGATCACAACACCATCTAAGGACACACATAACTGCATGCCGCCACATTTTGCACCAGCTGAAACTTCTGGATTGTCTTCAAGAACAGCCCCAATAGAGCATGTTACTGGAATCTATTCTGGATGTGACCAAGGCATGAGTGACTGTGAGCAGAGCAGAATGATATACAGGTAAACCTCATTAACCAAGTGCCTCATACAGCAATTGTCCAAAGTTATGACAGCACTGAAAACAGAACTTGAAATAATAACCAATGTCTGCATTTGCAACTTTTGCAGTCTCTCTTTCTCTTTCAGCCATGTGTTTGTTTCCCGACTTCCGGTGGGCCCAGAAGGTCCGAAAATCAGCTGGCCGGTGCGTGCATGTGCGCTGAAGCTGAGCTAGGGCAACGCTCGCGTGCCCACCGATATGGCTCTGCATGCCACCTGTGGCACGTATACCATAGGTTCGCCATCATGGGTATAGGGTCTCTTGCTTGAACAGAGGGTTGGACTGGAGGACCTCCAAGATGCCAGCAGTTCGACCCTGACCAGCTCAAGGTTGACTCAGCCTTCCATACTTCTGAGGACCTAGATTGTTGGGAGCAATACGTTGACAGTATAAGCCATTTAGAGAGGGCTGTAAAGCAGTCTGAAGTAGTATATAAGTTTAACTGTTATTGCTATTGCTAATTCATTATTTTATAGACATTTTAAGGCAAGGGTGTCCAACCTTGGCAACTTTAAGACCTGTGGACTTCAATTCCTAGAATTCCCCAGCCAGCACTTCTGGAAGTTTTCAGTTCTTAAAGTTGCCAAGGTTGGATACTCCTGTTGTAGGATAACAGGTTAGGCTCCCTGCGTTCAGTCTTCTTTTTCTTTTATGTCTCTATTTCCTTTGTTTCTATGTCAAGCCAGGAGTTTCCACATGTACAAAAAAAAGATGTTTCATGTTGTATTTAATCCATTACATGACAGTTCATTAAGTGAAAACATATCACTACTTCACTTGGCTTCCTTTGGCTGAAGAGACTACTGGATGTAATAGTATTAGACACTATTGCAGTATCTACAAATGAGTTTGGGGGTAAGCTCTTTGTTAAGTCATCACACATTTTCAGAATGCTTCGAAGAAAAAACATTCTGTTCGCATGTTGTCAAGTCCTTTGTTGTAACATTTTGCATTGCAGGACAATCTTCCTTGTCCTTGACAAAACTATGTCTTTGTAAATGATCCTATAAACAAATTTTAATGATTATACTTTATTGATGTCCCGCAAGGGAGAAGATGGACAGGCAGGGAGATTTCTAAATACTTCTAAAAACTCCAGGAATAGGAAAATAAAGAATTTACACTAAGTTATATTTTGCTTCCACTCTTTAAAAAAACAAAACACCCCTATTATTTGGGAAAAAAATACTGAATACTCAAAAACCTGAAAAAATGCTGAATATGACAAGGATAATCAAAATATACTAAATATAACAAGGGGATAACCAAGAAAGCATGATTGCAATAACTACCTAGTTATAGTTTTGTAATACAAGTTCGTTTATTCGTTGATTCTAGCATTAAAGGGCCCAGTCAAAAATCCAATCACTTTGGCTTTTCTTTCCAGCAACACCCAGCATTCTTTTAAAATTGTCGCCCGCATAGAGTGTCAGAGGAAATGCATCTGATTATTGTATTGTGTGGCTCCCATTCCGAGGCTGCAGTATCCCTTGCCAAGTTTTCAAACAGGACTTAAAAGACCCTCACATCATTTGGCATTCCTCTCGTTTGCAGAAAAGCCTTTTCTTCTCTCTCCCTCACGTTTCCAGGCTGAATAGGATGGCTAGTCCAACCAGCTCTGTTGACCCAGTGGCCTGATCCAATCATCAGCTGAATATCAACCTTCCCACCAGTACTCGCTCCTCACCCCCTCCCACCTCAAAGGAGTAATGGGAAAATCCAGGAGGAGGCAACAGTTTAAATTGTTTTCAGTTTCATTGGATGTTCCCTCAGTGAGGAAGCTGAGCAGGAGTAACCCGTGCAGGATTTAAACCCAGTTTTAGGGAGAGTAGCCATTGCTACCATAGCAGCTTTTGTCCCTTTCTCTCACTCATCCCACAGTGAAGATGGCTGAGGCATTTTGCGCTACTTGGAAGCTGATTGACAGCCAGAACTTTGATGAGTACATGAAAGCATTAGGTATGTAGAAACAGCAGCATATAAAATCATCCTGTTTTAACTTATATTTCTTTCAGGTTGGTATAAAGGTTACAGAGTTTGGATTCTGCAAAGAACAAATGCACTGGAGTAAAGTCATGCTAAATAGTACTTGGAGCCAAAACCATAATGATTTTTAACCGTGTAATATATATATGGTTCAGTCAACGGTATACTAATATTTAGATTAGTATGAGCTAAACTTCATTTTAGTTAAGCCAAACTATGGTTTGGACTGAAATTTATTCTGGTTACAAAGCTAAAATGTGAGGAGATATATTGTAAAAATGTATGTTAGTCAAATACATGATTAGAAGCATATTTATTTCAAAGATTTGTTGTAAAGTTCCATTAAATTCAATGAATCGATAAGCTTGTTAGATTTTAAATATGTGAGTGTAACTGAATTGGAAAGCTAATTTCTCTTTTAATGTAAGAAAAAATGGATTGCATGGGGTCTGTTTCTTGTCTGTTTTTAGAAAATAGATGGGGGTAGGGTGGGAAGAGGGAGAACTGAAAAAGTATTTTGCCCAAGTTTATGCATGCTCCATTTTGTACATCTTTAGGATATATGGGAAATTAATGGTATTCAGTACAATAACAAATCCATGTATAAATCTAGGTTGTAGAAATTAAAACCATCTGCATAAACATACATCTTCTGCCAATAACCTGAAGCCATAATTTGCATCACTCCATAGTGTCATACTAATTTGGTGAAATCAAATAATATTGGAAAAAAAGGAGCAGTTTTTTTCCTACAAAGAAAAGTGCAGGTTCACTGAAATAGAAGAGCTATGTCAAAAATAAAATTCATATAGTATTTTATCTGAATATTCAGAAATACATTTGGCTGGGTACCTTGGAGTCTTCCATACAGCTCTGCTTAGAACTGTAACTAGATCATTACTACCTTTTGTTACAAAGAATTGCTCTTGATTTAACAGCAACAAAACAGCTCTTTTGGTTTGGTGCCTTCCACATCAGACAGACTGCTTCTTTCTTATTTAGGAACTCCAATAACATAAAATGGATGTTTGTGCTTTTCAATTTATTTTATATATTAAAGGAGTTGGCTTTGCTACTCGTCAAGTGGGGAATGTTACCAAACCAACTGTGATCATCAGCCAGGAAGGGGACAAAGTGGCGATTCGAACACAGAGTACTTTCAAGAACACAGAAATAAACTTCAAACTGGGAGAAGAATTTGATGAAGTTACTGCAGATGACAGGAATTGCAAAGTAAGTAAGGGGGGTGGAAAAGCAGTCTTATTTTTATTTTTCAGAGTTGGCAGGAAAGAGACTTTGAATGGGGAACGGTATCTTTCCTCTGAAGCAAACAGTAAGCTAGTGGAAGAAACATTTACAACTTAATTTCAGTGTCCTCTCCACTGGCATGAGAGAAAGATAAAAAGATTCATCCGCTTGCTTTGCAAATTAAATTATGGTGCTAAGCATACATTTTTTCAAACCCTGAAAGATCAATAAAATGTAATTGAAGATAAGTTTAATGATTATATGTTTGTATTATATATATATATATTTACTGGGGCTCCTAACAGTGGGCAACCATCCGCTCTGTTTACTCCCAAGGAGGTAAGAGAAAATGTACTTCGTCTCTGAATCTCATACTTGTTGCCATTATGCCCTATTCTACTGGGATTCCTGAAAGGTTCAGAATTTGCTTGGGGGGAAAAAACCCAATCCTAAATTCTGTTCCAGGTTGGCATTTTAATCTCACTAGAACAGGGGTCTCCAACCTTGGCAACTTTAAGACCTTTAAGCAAAGCTGGCTGAGGAATTCTGGGAGTTGAAGTCCACAAGTCTTAAAGTTGCAAAGGTTGGAGACCCCTGCACTACAAGTTCTCTTTTGGTTCCTATTTGAGGCATAACTACTTAATCCCATGTCTTAAACTGAAAATGTATTAAAGCCAAAGTCTTTTAACTGAAATGCATGTTAAATACAACACCTTTAATATGGACATGCATAGAATTGTACACAGGAAAAGAATTCATTTAGTTTTCATGTTCATTTTTTTAATAAGTGATCTGCTAAAAATATCTTGCTAACAAATTCATTTCTTTGAAACTAGTGGTCTAAAGGGGCATTTGCTAGGTGATCTAAAACAGGGGTCTCCAACCTTGGCAACTTTAAGCCTGGCAGACTTCTGGGAGTTGAAGTCTGCCAGGCTTAAAGTTGCCAAGATTGGAGACCCCTGATCTAAAACATTCAGATGGCATTGTGATTGTGTGGTTGAATCCCACCCCCTTTAATGTGGAAAGTTGCAAGACTTTGATCAAGCAGCAAGAGACATCACCTAGAATTGCTAGACCCCTGCAGCATATGCCCCTAGTAGTCCATCGTCATTCAAAGACTGAAGTATTTTTTATTCTCCTACAGATAAAGATTTTCAAGTTGAACTATTAAACCTGAATGAATTGTATGGGCAATTTTTATGACACTTTCCATCTATTTCCACAGTCTGTTGTGAGCATGGATGGTGATAAATTGGTTCACATACAAAGATGGGATGGCAAGGAAACAAACTTTGTTAGGGAAATTAAAGACGATAAAATGGTCATGGTAAGTAAAGCTTCCTAAAGTTAAAAATGGTCCTGAGGGTTTATTATGCCATAGGCATTATGAAAGGGTCCTCCTTTCCCTACCTAAGTACAGATCAGTGATAGCTTCTAAAAACAGCCCCATTACTTTCTGTAGCTCTATGGTTAATTATAAAACATGTGATATTTGTCATATGAGAATACAATCGTATCACTTCAATGTTGACAGAGACTAAAGCAACTGAATTGGGAATTCCAGAGTCTCATATTGCAGAAATATGACATTAAAAGAAATTTTCTTTCTTCTTTCTTTCAATGAGACTTCTTGAGATGCTTCCATAGATGTTAAAAATGACTTCTTTCATGTTTTTTTTCCTTTAGTTTTGTTTGGAAATGGCATTTTTTAAAATGGAAGCATGATTGATTTAGAGAAATTCCTGCATTAGAAAGTACTTCGTTCTCCATTATCCAACGATCCATTATTGCAATCTAGAGCCAATTCAATTATTTCAAAAAATGTAACATACTTTGTAATGTATTTATGAATGGACTCTCTCACCATGATATTTGTAAGGGAAATATGTAACAAGTATAAATAGGGTTGCAATAAACAAGAATGACATGTGACTTATGAATAGTACATTAAAGTGTAAAAGAAGCAAACACAGTTCTGATTGGTTGACTAGAATATATTATGCAAATAATATATTTTTATGCAAGGCTAAGAGTTGAACATAAGGGGCAGAATAAACATGAACACCAATTGTAAATGCAGGACCTCCCTGCAGGTGAAGAATCTGTTGTAACCAACCTGTGTTAAAATCTTTCATTTGTGTTCACTTTTAATTTTTTATTTCACGATTTCTCTACATCAGGGGTGTCAAACTCGTATCTTCACATCGTTGTCATGTGATGTATCACGACTTCCCCCCTTCGCTAAATCAGGGGTGGGCTTGGCCAGCACGTGACGCATCCACCCCACAGGCTGCGAATTTGGCAGCCCCGCTCTACACTGATATGAAAAGTTCAGGTTAATTCATGCAGCAAAAGCGTGAAGACTTGAAATTGCACTGGGTCATTTGCTTGCTATGTTTGGAGAAATTGTTTTCTGTCATGATATTGCAGAAATGGGGCAGACTCAGATGTTTCAGGAATGTCTAACTTTTGCTCCGGTGCCTTGTCAAAGACCTCATGATTCATTTATCTCTGCACATTATGCCCAATAGTCTATATTTGTTTTAAATTGTCTTTGTTTGTATTCACTGAATTTGCAGACTCTCACCTTTGGTGATATTGTTGCTGTTCGCCAATATGAAAAAGCATAACATCTGTCAGCTTATTGTCTGGGGTATTAATACTTCTGGATGAAAGAAGACCTGTCTTCAGAAGCCATCTTTGAAGTAAAAATTGCATTGCTGATATGGAAAGAATACCAAGTGCTACTTTGGTTTTTTTTTTGTTGGGAAAAAAAAAAAACACCTCCATGCTATCAACTTGGAAACATTTCACTTTGTAAATCACCACAAATAAACTTTGCAATAAAATCTTGAAATCTCTTCTTTTATAATAAAAAGCATGCTGCCATTATTGAATAATTGAATTGAATTGAATTGAATACTTTATTTGGTCAAGTGTGATTAAACACATAAGAAATTTGTCTCCGGTGGAGAAGCTCTCAGTGTAAATGCAAAGCAACAGAATAACGATAATCATCATCATAATAATACCAATAAGAGGATGGAGTAAGAAAGATAATAAGGATAAATAATAATGTTACAGCCATACTACGTGAATAAACACACATAGATATTAGACAGCACTGTGAGAATTAGGTGTTGATGAGTGATGGCCCGTGGGGGAAAAAAGTGTCTGTGTTTAGTTGTTTTGGTCTGAAATGTCCTATAATGCTGTCCTGATGGGAGGAGTTGAAATAGTTTATGACCAGGATGTGAGGGGTCTGTAGATATTTTCTCAGCCCTCCTTCTGACTCATGTAATATACAGATCTTCTATGAAAGGCAGGCTGGTTCCAAGTTCTTTCTGCAGCTTTAATTATCCATTGGAGTCCTGTTTGATTGCTCTTTGGTTGATTTTATAAAATCAAAGCCAAGTAGAGCCGAAATATCTTGGTTTCATACTAAGTGTCCTTTAAAAACAGTTTTAGTAAATAAATGCTTGACTTTAATAGTTTGCAATAGTAGACAAAAATTTGGCCAAATATCTTCTTCCAGTTATCTGTCATAGACTTGCACATTCTTTCACAAAGAGATATGGGTCATTGATAAATACAGATATTAATCCTTCCACCTCAGTTTACTTCTACTTTTCTCCTCTTCCTAACTCTGAGGAACAGCCTGTTGCCTTCCTCTAACATGTCATCTCATCTCCTAGTTAATTGCAATTCATGGATTCTCCAATCCTTATGCTGGAAATGTGCTTCTAGAAACAATATGTGCAGAGTTAAAGTTTAATACATGTATTGTAAAATTTCATAACCCATGGACACTTACACCGTAATTAGTTAATAAACCATTTGTTATCCTACTTGATATTTCCAATGGATCATCAGATGGAAAGACTTGGGTTCCACTGTTTTAACTCTTCAGAAATAGGGCTTCTTCAAACTTCTTTTTCCTAGCATGTTTAATGCAATGGGGAAAATGAATTGGGTAGACAAAAGCAAGAATAATCATGCAATGAGCACCCAGCTAATTTCAGGAGAGCAGATAGCAATAGCAATAGAACTTAGACTTATATACTGCTTCACAATGCTTTCCATCCCTTTCTAAGCAGTTTACAGAGTCAGCATATTGCCCCCAACAATCTGGGTCCTCATTTTACCTACCTCGGAAGGATGGAAGGTTGAGTCAACCTTGAGCCTGGTGAGATTTGATCTGCCAAATTGCTAGCAGCCAGTGATCAGCAGAAGTAGCCTGCAGTTCTGCACTCTAACCACTGCACCACTGCCGCTCTGAGGAGACCCATCTCCTCAGACGAGAATATTGACTTCTGGTAGCCCCAAACTACTGGTAACAATTGCTGTACCACATACGTGAAAGAAAACAACATACACAGAACTCACAGACAGTGCCCAAAGTGAACTCAGTAAGCAATTTTGAAACCTGCTCAATTTACAAGGGGAAATTATTTCTCTGACCTGATGGAAGCATCCAGAAGAAAGAAATGATAGGCACATCATCACATTATCGCACAAATGACCCAGGTTAATGTACTTACATGAGACATGAGGCGATTGATGCAAATTACATAATTACATAATTTGCATGATGACATTATCAAAGCTTTTAACAGACCATGTACTGGAGGCAGTTTCTTAGCAGGCATTAAGTGTTCATTTTCCCAAACTCACAGCACACATGTCATTATGTCAACTTAGAATTGTTTAAGTAGTACTTTCATTTAAATACCCACGTAAGGATGTATTGGTTTATTTTTAAATCCAGGTGACGCCATCATTATTTTGCACTGAACTTTTAAATGCTTAATTTACATGAAAAGTGCCATAACTAAACAAAGAACTCAACACCTGAACACCACACATTTGTATTGAATTCATACTGAAGTTTATGCGATGAAGTTCAATTATATGAAAATAATTCCTAATATACGAAAGAAACAAAGAAACCAACTCCATTGCTTACTCCTAATAAAATGCTGTGTGATTTTGTGTGCAGTTAACATAAGTGGTATTCAAAGCCTACAGCTGAGCAAGGTTTATGGAAAACAAGATGCCCTTTTTGTCTCTATGTCTATAATGTAGCAGTGATGTTGAAAACTATGTGTTTTTCTCCATGCAACTGGTTTATTCTTTTGTTCTTCCGGGTGATCATGAATCACATACCAGTACATTTATACTACATTATGAACTTGAAAATAGGGATGCAGTGGCTCAGTGGCTAAGATGCTGAGCTTGTTGATTGAAAGGTCAGCAGTTCAGCAGTTCAAATCCCTAATGCCGCGTAACGGGGTACGCTCCCGTTACTTGTCCCAGCTTCTGCCAACCTAGCAGTCCAAAAGCACGTAAAAAATGCAAGTAGAAAAATAGGGACCATCTTTGGTGGGAAGGTAACAGTGTTCTGTGCGCCTTTGGCATTTAGTCATGCCGGCCACATGATCACGGAGACGTCTTCAGACAGCGCTGGCTCTTTGGCTTTGAAACGGAGATGAGCACCACCCCTTAGAGTCGGGAACGACTAGCACATATGTGCAAGGGAATCTTTACCTCTACTTTATGTACTTGAAGCACCCATTCATGGTTTTAGGATCTGTAATTAATATGAAAAATCCATTCTGGAAAAACATTCTTTGGTGGCAGGATTTTGCAATTCACACTGCCATCAAAATAGATGAGCAGACCAAAGATTCAGATTCAGCTGAAACAGTATTTAGCCATTTAAGATATGGCAATTAGCTTAAACGGCTTCTGGAACAATATGATTCACTGTGGGTCCCAATGAGAATCTTGCTTCAGGAAATAGAAAGTTCTATATTTCTGTCCCTGAGAACAATACCCCGTAAAATTGATGAAGTTGTTTAAGAACTATAACAGTTTAGGATATTATAAATGTGTTACTTATTAAGATATGGCAAGGCTCTTTGTTGCCATCATTTTAAAGGATGAAACAATAGCTTGCATAGTGCTGCATTGCTAATTTTAATAAACTGATCAATTTTTAATGCTAGCCTATAACTATAGGAAGAACACTGGGGTTGGCTGACTTAAGCAGCAGGTAGGGTATTAGCTGGTGCTATTCTTCTTACTAACTTACTAACTAACTTACTGTCTACTGTTGACCTCACCCCATTCCTAAGAGGTCTTTAAGGGGTGTGCATAAGCATACCAACATGTCTACCATCCCTGTCCTACTGTCCCCATTTATTCGTATCCATTTCCTGTGTTCATATTCATGTTTATACTTATATCTGTTATCTCGTACATGTTTGACAAACGAAATAAATAAATAAAAATAAAACTAAGCTATGTTTGGATGGGAAGGGACCCTCCTCATGATTGTTCTATACTGGATTCAGAACTGCAACTCTTCTATCCAGAATACACTTTTCTCCTACCTGTCTATGGCTCTTTTTGCAATGGTTGTTCTTTCAGAGTTTATCACCCAGACTTGGTGTATAGGTTGGGGACAGGGGACGGCAAAGGAACATATACTCTTCATATTTGCTGCTATGGCTGAATGAATATCTTTCCTGTATTGTTGAACTTGCAGAGTGGTTTTAAATTCCAGGAACATTGTTAATTTTCTTCTTGACATGGCTTGTTCTGGCCAAAACTGCAAAAAGTGTGTGAAACTTAAGCTCCATGTCCTATTCAGTGGGACAACAAAGACTCTTGGGGTCTAGGCATAGATTCAACTATGGCAGGGTTTTTTCCTAGCTGTGCAGTGAGGCTGGTAAATTGGGAGGTGTTGTGGCATAATTTTACATGTTGTGTTTTGCAAGTTGCTGGAGGCATACCAACAGTGATGGTATTCACTTACCTTCGCAACCGGTTCACAAATGTGAGTGTACGCGCATGCACAGAGCATCAAAAACGCAACATGATGATGTCAGGGTGGGTGGGCAGAGCCTCCCACCACTGTCGCTACCGGTTTGCCTGAACTGGTTAGAACCAGCAGAATACCACCACTTCATACCAAATATTATCCTAAACACCTTGGCTTCTTCCATTTGTTAATGGAAATAATATGGTCTGGCATAGTCCCGGATTAGCAATTTTTGGGGTATAGTTTCAGGGATGTCAAATATATTTTAATTTTATTCCTTCAGCCTTCTTGGTGGTTTGTGTTATTCTCGTTGAACTGACGTATAACAGAATATATAACAATATTTCTGCTGATATAATACAATCAGGGGTGGGTTCTACTTACCTTTACTACCAGTTTGCAATGGGGCCACGCGCACATGCGCAGAAGCTTCCTGATGATGTCAGGGTCAGTGGACGGAGCCTCCCACCAGTTTTACTACTGGTTCTATAGAACCGATCTGAACCAGGGGAAACCCACCACTGAATACAATGCATTTTCCCTTCAACATAGCTGTGTAGGATTAATCTGTTAACTAAGAAGATAATTAAATTAATTTAAGCCTCCTGTTACACAAATAATCTGTACCATACATAGTTAATTACATAGTGTGTGTAATAATTAAATGTAAATTATTATAGGCCAAAGGAAATGTCACCTCTGTATGACTCTCTTTGTTATCTTTGGAAAGCCATTGAGCTTTATACCTGGAGTACTGAAATAACACGCTTGTCTTACGGGGACTGGCTATGAAAAATGCTTGATCTTTGGAAGTGAAACATAAAAATGAAGCATCCATGCACTGAGAACAGAGTGAAGACCTAGAATACAATACAGATATTTTTAAATTGCTTGACTTCTAAGCCGATGCTAGATCTGATCCTAGGATACACTACTGTGTTTCCCCAAAAATAAGACCCTGTCTTATATTTTTTTTGAACCCCAAAATAAGCGATTGGCCTTATTTTCGGGGGTCTTGTTATT